CTTACCGCCTTCAGCAGGTGAATGACTTATAGTTGCATAAAGCATTTCTTTATATACAGTGAGTGATGTGAAACCCACTCATCCTTAGAGGGTTACATTTTAATTGCACTTCCTGAACTGATCTCTGAACTGAGCTCCACTAAACATCATTATCTTCATATTAAAATCAGATCAAGGAGTAAACATAGAGTCGGCACCTGTCTGAGTAACGCTGTATACATCTGTTTTGTTATTCATCTCAGACACTCTCTATGCTATAAGGGCTCACTGATGGGCCACTGTTTAATGATATGTGATGTGTCATTACCTGTCATTACCTCATTGAACTGTTTTATTCATGAGTCTACATGCAGGAGGTAATTTTTTGCTAGGCAATAGCTATGTCCACATTTATGTTCATATTTGATGTGTATGATCAGATTTTAGGTGTGTTGACAGTTTATGGTGTGTTTTCATTAAAAACAAATTATAATGCCGAGTACTAAAAATTTCATCTAAGGGAGCTCTAAACACTCTATCTTGACTGTGAATTTAACCTCTGCCTCGATCAGTACCAGTTATACATTCATTAACCAAAATTGCATCAAACTTCTAATTGAAAAAAATTTCAAACTCTAGCTGAAAAAACATTTTTATCTTTGCAAAAGTTAATGATTCAGTTCACTACATATCCGTGGTAACCACGCAGTTCACACCAAGAATATTACTTAGAGCTTATTTTAGTAGAAAAATGGCACAAACACTTAAAAATGATTTATTATTATTGTATGGCAAACATTTTTAAAGTCCAGTGAGACAGTAAACAGCTGTCTAAACCACTGAGACAGAAAACAATAGTATATATATATATATATATCAATATAACATTTTATCTTTAATAACAATCAAAACAGATGCTTTGTTTAAACTTAATCTACATCCAGATTAATCTGTAAATAATCCCGCTGCGTCTGTGGGGTTGCTTTATGACAACTTTTTGAGTTTTAGGGTACAAAAAATCTCAAAGCAGCTCAGTGTCCATAGTCATCTGTGGGCAGATCAGAGTTTTTTCCATGTCCAGAACCTACTGAGGCAAACTGATTGTACCTGACCACTGAGTGCATATTACTAAACACTGAACTGAAAAACAAGAAAACGTTCATGATCAAATGAACATTAATTAACTACCCATTTAGCTTTCTATCTATATAAAACCAGCAAATACTGTAGCTATGCACATATTAATAACAATCTATTGCTTTTGAACATACAGACATAAAAAAAAAACATATTTTAGCATAGAATAGAATAGAAAATCCCTTTTTTGTCCCACAATGGGAACATTCTGGGAAATTAGCATCATGTAAATGTTGAAGATTCTATGTGAAGATTGTTAGCTGTCATTATCTTACCATCCCCCTTTTGCTCCCTCTGAGAAACAAGACAGTAAAAACCCAGTTTATTTTGGTTTACTTCAAGTAATAGAAAATAAATACACATAATATATAAATATAAAATTCTTCTACGGGAACAAGAACAGGGATCACACATGAAATAAGAGGGGAAATAGATTTGTTTTATTGTCTATTATATCATTTTATTTTTTTGACTTTTATCTAGTCTGGATGCTATAAGGAAAGAGTATCTAGGATATCATAATTGAGGCACCTTTATATAATTATGTGCAGTTTTTAATATTTAGACATGTTGCAATGTTTGTGAAAAGGTCAGATTTGGGTCTCATCTCAGTAGGGATTTCTGCTAATTATTCGGAAATGGACATAGAAATGTTAAAAACCTGCTTCTGAACTTTACTGATAACTTTAATTTCTACACAACAGAACCTCTTTGAGAAAAAGTACAGGTGAACCACAAAAGGGGAGGAGCAGTAAAATGTTGACACTTTCATAGTCACTATTAAATAGAATGATTAATAAAGATGAATGCCAGAAGCAATAAAATACTGTGAAAAAAGCTGATAGAATGGAGTGAATCATAGCGAGAGGGTGATTTATTAAAAAGAGAGAAGGAGGGAGATAAAAATAGATTATGATGAAAAGAGAGATCATAGGGAAGGAAGGCAAGAGTCAGAAAGGAGGGCTGGTGGTAAAAGGGAGCAATGGGGATGAGAGAGGGGTGTAAAGAGAGAGATTATAGCTTGTAATCCTCATAGGTTTTAAAGCTTTGCTTTTTAAATGTGGATTATTACTTCCCAACCTTTGTTTTGTCAATGAAATGGACATGAAGGAGTGTTTTTGTGTTTACTGGGGGAAATACAGACTTTATATGTAGAGCCTATCATTCTGGTTTTGATGCCTAGGAACTGTAATGAATGAAATTTATTTTAGGGTTATTAAAAAAAAATGCATTTATTTAAATACTAATTATGGTAATATGCTCTATCAAAGCATATAAGAGGATCTTAAAACAATTTAAATGATGTTATATTTTCAAATTGCTGATTGTTTTCTCTTTATTCCTTTTTTTCTAAGGAAAATAAGTCACACACAAAGAACATTTCTGTGCATGTGCTATTTTCATAAAAGTAAGACTTAGAAATGTTCTATATATTTACAAGATGCTACTTGCTGCCATATTTCTCAGTGTTTTAATAATCAATCCTCCCTTCAGACCTAAACTCTGGATACTAAACTGGTTGTAAACCAACTAAGTTTTTATGATCTTCCCATACTGGTAACTACCCAGCAATGTGATGCTATAGTTTCACAGCTAAATTGATTCGAGCTACTTTTAACTTTAGTTACAAGGAATTTTCTTTTGTTTTTTTGGGGGGGGGTCATTAAACAAGGTGAAAAAGTGGAAAATGTACAGGTGAACTAGTCAATAATTTCCAACTCGTTCAATTGATTAAGAACTAACATTTTATGCAGATAGCACCATGCTAATGCCAAACACTAGACGGTGGACAGGAAGCTGCACAGTTTCCATGGGTCCATTTCATGAAGCAGGTTTATTCAAATTCAGACTAAAATCCGCTCTAACTTGATCTAACCAAAACTCCGTGTTTGGTTTCACAACGGCTGCTATCAATTAGTTAAATCAACTTTAACTAGGTCCACTCAGAGTTAAGCGTTTTTGCAAAAAGTATGAAAACCCATTATCAGTGGAGCACCAATTTGACGAGTCACCATGACAACAGGCAACAGGACGTGCCTATTTCACCTCACTGGAACTGGAGATTTTAATGCAGAAATGCAAAAAATTAAATAAAAAAGGAGAATGTTTTAAAAGACAGAGAAACAGCCCAGCAGCTACAAAGGAGAGGAAAGTACCAAAGGAGAAGATTGTTGCTCCAGTTAATGTGTAAGTTTATATAAAGTAGGCTATGGCAGGCCGTTTTCACATTTATCAAAAAAGCTTTCCTCTCTGTAGTTCCATTTGTAGATCACTTAAATAAGATTCTTCCTAATTAAAATCACACTTCTGGACCTAACTCTAATAATATATTTTCCAAATTATATTTTTGTAGCAGAAACTGAATTTTAGAAAGTAAAAAAAAAATAAAAATTATACTAGTAAGAATTAAGTTTTATATACCGGTACCTAGAAATTTTTACACATTTTAAGTGGCTGTTCTGACATTTATCGGCTTGACTAAAACGTATTTATGATATCTGAAAAAAAAAATTTCATAGTTAAAATAATACAAGTTCTGACCATTAATATTTGGAATATGGAGGTCTGAAATCAATTTCTAGACATCCAGAATGTTTATTCTAGATGTGAAGAATATCATCCTGTTTGAAATGGTCGTTTAGACAAAGAAAAAATGTTTTTTTTCAGATATCAGGAATACACATACAGTAAAACTAGTACATACAAAATGGCTTGCCATCGTTGTTGTTACCGTGAAAACATTATGAGTGAGGATGAGCAATAAAAACATTGTTCTAATATATAGAAACTGTGGTTCATCTCATGCTTCCCTCCTCATGTTGATTCAGTCTCCTTTTACACAGTAAAGTGGCTGTTTGTAGCCACGCATCAGATGTTATCGTCCCAAAAAATGACAGTTATAAGCTGCTATCAGTCCCATAGAATGCCATCTGATTATGCCAGTAGGCTCATTAAGTTATTATCATCGAGTGAATCCTAATTCTAACATAAATCCTCTTCCCCTGCTGAATCAACAAATCTATTTACGTGTATTCAGAAAATAATTTCAGTAGTTCTTCATGTACTGAAAATATAACCAAATAAAAATAAAATTATCTGCATCTCGCTAATTTTAAACAAACCAAAAACAAGTAATCTCATGCCTTGTCAACTGAGTTGTAGAATCCTCTCCCTATACAATTTAATTCTCTGTGAAAAAATGCTGATCATTCCTTAATAAGATCCTTGTCAAACTGACATGCAATGTTTGTTTTAAAACCTAATGTGTCTAATGGACCTTGTGAATGATATGTATATATTTTTTATGCACAAAACTAAAACAAAAATCATACTATATCAGAAAATAAACATTATGATTCTGTAAGGAGAGCAGAGACAGAGGACGCTCTGAGTTTACTGAAGAAATCCTGCTACCGACCAGGTTACCTTTGGGAAAATGTTACTATGGTGCCTTAAACGAAGGTTGAATAAACTCTCTTTGTGAAACGGAAAAGTCAGATTTTCTCTGTTTTCAGGTTTAGACAACTTAGAGTTTTCTGTAAACCTGCTTCACGAAACGGACCCCAAATCTCCTCATATTAAATCACATAGTAGACAACGATGATGGGGTGCTGAGCTCACTCATTGAGTAGCTAATGCTCCAGGACAAAATTACTCTTTACCTACCAAGATTCTCTTTTGTAAATATATTGCATTGCACATCTAATCGTAAATTAAACCAATAAAAAAAAAAACAAGTTCTTGTTATCATGGTTTAGTAAATTCTGAGGTTTAGAGTTTCACATTTGTTTATAAACGAATAGCAAGCAATTCTAATTATCTTTCTAAATAAAATAAAAAAAACATCTTGGAAAAAAAAGATTTATCAGAGAGTACAGTCTGACCTGTTGTAAAGAAGAATGTCAGGCGTCCATATCTGGTCTGAAGGGAATCGGAGGTTCTGGACACCGGGGTAATTCTCTGGATTCCAGCTCAGGTAGACATCTGTCCAGTACTGAGAACAACAGAGGAGCTTTTACTGAAAGTTTATAAATGATGTACACAGTACAACCCTCAATCCTGTTCTTTTTAAAGAATCAAGCAGAACAAATATCTGAAAGATCACAATTAGATTTCACCAAACTTGCTCTTCATGATGTGGCAGTCATACCAGAAACAAACAAAGCCTTTAAAATAATTGTGGCTTAAAATGTAACCGAAAAACATTCGATTACTAACAATCTGTCCCCTGGAAAGCTTGACTCACCAGCTGCAGCCATGCATTGGTCATTAGCACTTGGTTTTTCTCATCCTGCACACAGACATGTGAAAGAGAAAATAAATGTGTGGTTTATCAACAATCAAGTAAACCAAGAAAAACTATCTTCAGCAAGCAAAAAAATTGATTAACAAGGGCTGTTAAAAGAAAACTAAAGAACAAAACAGAAATACTGCTGGTTCCAAAGGATGTGAGCAGTAAGTATGAACTGTAACAGCTGTCTCCACCGTAGCTTAGCACTAGAAAATAAAGCCATCTTTAAGTACTATTCAACGTTTTTCCATCAATACACAAAGTTTCAGAGATAAAAAAGACAATTTCATAAAATGCTGTACTTGTACGTTTAAAACATAAAATCTTTCTTAGAAGTCAACACAATCCCACTTTTCCACATTTTACTGCATAGAACTTTATTCCTTCACATTGTAAATTATAGCTCATTTTTATAAAGTGAGCAGCTGGGACTATGAGCAGTTAACCTCTTATATATAGTAGATATATTCGTATCATATTTATTCTTCATGAGGCCAGATTTCTCAAGGCTAAAGCGAATTAGCTGTCCAAGAGTTAATCTGGAGACCTGAGTTCAGCCTTTTAAGGCAAAATTAACAAGAGTTATTTTTTAGGTTAAACAGATGCTGCAAACTAGGACGTGTTTAGAAAAAAACTTTAGGTACAGGAGTATTTGAGAGAGAGAGGAGCTGCAACGATTCATCTAAAAGGAAAAATTCCTGGTGACAGCTGTCTGCATCTATGCAGGCATGAGAGCTTTAGTCTGTAACATGTCTGACTTTGTGCTGGTGAATCATTAGAATATCCGAGCCTCTCTCCTCACTTGGATTTTAATCACATACAGAAAAGTTAACAATTAAAAACATATATAATATAATTTTTTTAACAGTGTAAAAGCCAGTTTTGTCTCTCCATTGTGGAGATAAATATGGCCAAAATGACAGATTAGACATTATATTCTGTTACTGAGTGCAAATTTGATTAGTAATGTATAACAATGTGTGTTTTAACTGAGACAAACATTAATCTCGAGGAACCGAAAAGGCAAAGAAAAAAAGGATAGACAACTTTTAAGGCAGAATTTCAGACCTATTTTAATAATAAAAACAAACCAATTCTGAAAATAAAAATTTTCATGTTTAAGGCTGAAGCTAAAGCATAGATTACTATCATAAATTAACTATTGTAAAATTCCTAAATGCTTTTTTCAAGCATTGAATCTATGATACTGAATCATACTTGAAGTAAATAACTAAACACAATGAAAGGTTTTTGATTGTGTTGTTAATTTGGATTCATATTTATCAAAAAAAAACTTTCTGTCATTTATTATGTTATTCTGGTTTAAAAATGATAAAAATATCTATAGGCCAGTATTTTCTTTTTTTTTTTTTTTTATTCAGCTAACAATTCTGGCTCTCTGCTAATATTCTACTATCAATGCTTGACAAAGAAACATTCCTCTGTACTCCCATTATAGCAGTTTATAAAATGTGTAATAGGGATTTATTATTTTTGCATTCAGCATATTTCTAAACTAATTCTAATCTTATGATCATATATTATAAATATAGTAGTGTAATCATTAAGAATCATTAAACTTAAAAAAAACAACTATACTTCAATTTGTAATTTGACTTTCTAGGTTGCCATAAGTAATACATTAGTAGGTTTAAACACAGTAGGTTTTTGTGAGAAATTATGTAGCCATTAAAAAAATTTTCACTTTAGATTTAAACCAACCAAAACCCACAACATTGTCTCACACATCAACACATGTAAAAAAAAAAAAATTCTCACCACATCTATAATCTGTAGGAGAGTGAGGCCCAGCTCCACCTGAATAGGAGCTGAATCATTAATAACCGGTCTTTCCAGTCGATTATAGTTGGCCAGCAGCTCCTTGTATAGCTTCCTCTGGTGTTCCCCCTGCAAGGAACCTAAGTAAATAAAAGAAAAGGGATGGTGTTTGTTGCAGTATTTTATTGAACACATATATCTATTGCTTTTTTAACACAAACTGATCCAGTGTAGAAATAAATGGGAGTAGCCCTTTTTTATGGAAGTTAAACAGTAATATGATCTTTTTTAGACATTGAATTTATGAGAATTTTTAACCTGTGCAATTTTGTTTTTGAATTTGTTTCACTTTAAATTCACCAGCAAGAAAACATGCCTGTAAAATTCCACTGCAGTAATTAACAAATAAAAATAACAGCTGCAGAAATGTAACAGCCGGTATCCAGATGCAAAAATTTTACAGCAGAAATTAATTAAAAAAATATTCACCAGCTAAAATTCAAGTACAAAAATTCCGATGCCAAAATGTGTTGACCTTTTGATGACTTGAGCCAAAGCAATTTAGAGTCAATCGACTAATAGCAAATTCAAATACACTAATTTGGTCACGTGACAAACAGTATGAGTTAGCTGATGTGGTGGAGCATCTACTAGCTGTCTTCAGATATAACTTGGAGGCTGCATTGTTTTTGTTTTGTTTTTCTTTATCTGTGGCATTGCTGATTAACACTAGAGACAATAGAAACAGCTATGATGATGAAGACGAAGAAAGAACTGTGAAGAAAACTTTGCATCCAGTTTAGCTTAGATCAGGTAAATTTAATTCCTTGCTGTCATCTACCACATTAGCTGCTGATGAAAGTAAAAGGCCTATTTTTTCTTAGAGAACGGTAATAAGCTGTGTTTAACAAGTGTTATTTTATGCAAATACATGCTCTATATTGTTTTTCCTCATGTAGCTTTTAGAGTTGAAGTGCACTATTAGCTATTAAGGGGGCCGTTGTCCTTTAGGTTTTGGATATATCTTTGCTTTAACACACATCGGGCAAAGAATCAGATCATTAACAAGCAGATCTGGACAAACTGATTGCATACAGAGGAGGCAATTCAGCCACACTTTTCAAGAGAAACATCTTAAAAAGATGCAAGACACCAGATATTTCTGCCTACTGGTAGGAACAAATATCTTCCTACTGAGAAGAGAGAGGACAGGATGCTGAAGAACCAAGAGCAGCCACAGTTAAGCCTCAGATTCCACATCCTCGGTCACCTCTCCACCCCGCTCACGGACGACATGCGGACCACTTGCCCAGTCATGCAAGATGGAAGGAATCATGGTGGCTGTAGGGTTTGCTTTCCATAGGCGGTCTAAAACAGAGCTGGGCGGTTACCTCAAAATCCCACATGCTCTTTAACAGTAATAAAGTCAAGAGGCCTTTAGCTGCTTGACTTAATCTTGGTTCGGCCTAATTGTGTGTTCACACCGGACACGTTTTGGGCATCAAAGCATCTGATTTACATACAAAGTCCATGGGGGACTGGTCGAGAGGCATCTGAAAATCGGTGTATCGAAGCGATCTGGCACCTGAGCGTTCTGATGTCCAAACATCCAAGTATCTGAGCATTTGACGCTGGAGTTCAAAGATTTTTTACTCTTGCCGCTGGAAGTCGAAGCATCAACCAATCAGAAAAAAGGATCCGGAGTTTTTGGGGGGAGATAGACACTACATGCAAGCTGTGATTGATTCTGCAGAGCTGTCTAAAGGGAGTTAAACAACAAAGATTGTTGTTATTCAGGTTATTCTGATCATTATTGCTGCAATAAAACATTTTTATGAACTATGTCAAAAAGTTTATAAATAAATAAAAATGTCAAAACCTGCTGACGAAAAATACTCGTTTGAATACTCTGGTATTTGCAGTTATTATAACAAACCTACTCTTTATATTCACTTCAAGCCGCCAAAAGAGGCAGATATTCCAGCGCTGTCGGGCGGCGGTATGCTGGAGGTCTGGCGCTCCGTGTCACTACCCGATCCGTCTCCTTAACTCACTAAAGAACGCTAATACACACCTTTAAATTTTTTTTTTTTTTCTAAGACAATTTTGATGATTTTTACATATTCTCTGTTAAACTGCTTGTGTGACGTCATAATCGAACATGCTCAGAGTAACACGAAAGGAAATCATAAAACTCAAAAAGACTAGATTTATATTTAATTCCAAAGCTGGAAAAGTAGCGTAGGATTTATTTCCTGTACAGATAGGGCAAAATAAAAATGAGGGCAACCTGGATGTATTTGTGGTTGCGCATGCACAAATGAGCTGATGGTACGGATCGTGCTTCCAGGACTGATCGGCTAGTGACACTCCGAACAAGAACTGCATATTTTAGTAGGATCATAATCCAGATGAACTGACTACACAGATGATGTTTTGAGCTTGTAGCTACAGAACAGAGCAGATTAACAACCAGAGCACTGAGCATCCAGAGTGTCGAAGCATCAAAGCAACTTTACTTAGCGTCCATATTTCGGCGTTTAAGCGTTTTTGATGCCCAAAATGCATTCAGTGAGAGTGCACAATCATCAAAAGGTCAACACATTTTGGCATCTCAAATTTTGCATTTAAATTTCTGCTGGATACATTTTTGTATTTGAACTTTTTAGATGAATTTCTGTTGTCAAATTTTAGCAGCTGATTTTTTTATTATGTGAATTTCTGCAGTGAAATGTTTACAGGCAACATTTTTTGGTTCTGAATTTAAAGTAAAACAATTGAATACATAATCGGATACGTAAAAAAAAAAAAAATCAGTGTTATAAATCCAATGTTTAAAAAAAGGTCTGAATCTAATGAGACAGAAAAAACACTAGTTTTCTTCTTTTTATAAGGTTGTATTTTGCAATTATTTTCCTTTCCATTACCTAATTATCTGTAAATGGAAATGTACAGATGTAGCTGTAAAAAAAAAATGTTCTTTTTTCCGAAGTCCTTCAGAATTTTTGGGGGGTTGTTTTCTGTTCGTTTTTATTTGAAGAACACTGTGGCTAAATTCTAATCGGGAAAACGATTTTAATGGATGTTTAACCTTTTATCCTTTGCTGACATTGGCCTTCAAAAAAAACAAGAAAAAGGAAAATTTTTTTTTTTTAAAGAGCTGCCACTAACTGTACTTCATCTATAGGGGATAAGCCTGGATGGGTTTGGTTTTGATGTTATATTTCTGAAAATCCAAGGTAGGGATGATAACTGTATATGTTGAGGCTAAGGGGTTTTGTTGCATAATGAATAAATAAACATGCTGACATTTGCACTTATATTTGCTGACTGTAACATGTACTAGAGTGCAGAGTGGCAGGACTGAGAGTTAAAATAGGTTACTATCTGGAGTTATGAGGATGATGTGTTAGTTGACCCAACATCCATCACCCCTATAGATCCTGTTTTGCATAACTTCCCATAGATATTTAGCACTGTCACAGAGACACAAAAACTACTTGCGTAAATATCCAAAGTTTTATCATATATGCCTATGAGTAAAAATAGTGTGAAAAGAAATGCAGCTCAAAATTGAAAACATACTGCATTCTCTTCTGGTAGTTCAACAGTCATGATAAAGTTTAAGCATGTTCATTCAGTTTTTAATTATCAACAGACAAAATAACAAAATAGAATGACATTAGTAAATTGCGCAGATATATGTTTGGAAAGGAATATATAAAAAAAAAATACCCAATTGCCCATTAGTTAAAAGTAATATTTGACTTATTCAATGTAAGCAAAAGCTGATGTTATTGATTTATCAGCAAGAAATTTGTCTATAATGATGTTTGCTTATACATTTGGAAACTGTCATAATCTCGGTTTGACAAAAAGCTGCAGCAGGGTTTTTGAGCAAACCTTGGACATGGTATGAAAATTTTAACAAGCACTCTTTACAGGTCCCTCCTCCCTACTCTCCGCTGTGCTACAGCACTCATTCCACAACCCCTGCCCCACGGTGGAACTCACTGTGAACCCACTTACTAGTTAACATGGCTACTGATGATGGCAGACAAAAATCTATGGTACAATTATTGGTAGGAAACAACCAACAATGATATGCTTTATTTAGATGCACAGCTGCAGCAGGCTGGTAATCTTGAGCTTGGCAGACTGTTTCGATAGATGTGTTTAAGCAGCGTTTAAACTGCTAAGACATACCTTTTGTGTCCATATTTATCTTATTGGTGCTAACCACTTTCCTATGACTCTGTTAGTCCCGCCTTGTAAATTGTACTCTACTCGCTCCTTTCCAGAGTGTTTTGTGTACGTTATTGCTTTAATGCAAGTCCTAATTCCATAAATACCATGACCCTTTTTTCTGAAACCACACATTTGTTTTCTAACAGAAAAGAAGACAGCTTTTGATTCAAGGCCAGCACCTAGTTGTAATTTTCTGTTGCTTCCATAAGATCAAATTTTTAACCTTCAATTTCTGTGCCAGTTCATTTAAGCCTAGAAAGACACTTGTTTGGTTAAGCTCTGTTAACACTTTGTTATTCATGTAGATTTGCATACATTAACAAAATGCACTATGTGAGGTGTACAACACACCCTTGATGAAAAGACCTACAATCCTTCCTGCAAAATACCAGTCATTAGACATTCTGTCAATAAATTGTGGACAGTAGAAACCAGCCAGCTAAAATAAAAAGGATTCAATTGACATACAGCTAGCATGAATTGGAAAAAGGGCAAAGGAATAAAAAGATAGCAGTGAAGCTGTGAAGAAAAATGTGAAGAGACATGTGCCTTTGGCCTGCATGCTGCTGATTGGTCCATTAAGATCATAATGAAGAGAGTTATAGCAGGAAGGAGCCTAAGGTCAGAAACAGACGAGCTATGAAATGCTGCTGAGCACAACAAAGTCTCTGTGAATGTTTCTATGAAGCCACACCAGTGCTCTGTGAAAAATGGATTACGACCTTTTCAGAGATGCAAACAGATATTTTTGCTGTATAATTTCTTGGTCTGCCGGTAAACATGGTTGGGTTTACAATAATTAACAAATCCTCAAGGCAGTCTCTGTTTGAATTCTGCAAAAATACTAAAGAATTTCAAACTGACCAGACGGAGCAGTCATAAATCCGAATAG